CTGAGGCCTCCTTGTGTGGCAAACGCACTGTCTGTCACGGGAAACCCTGTGTGGACCTGATCTGAGCACCAACCAGGGCCCCTGCTGGGCACCCAGGGGAGCGTGTGGCTCCCTGATGTGCCTCTAGTGTGCGATCCTCTGCCCTGGAGGGAACGTGAGAGACTCCTGTGGTGTGGCCTCCCAATGTCTGTGGGCACGAAGCAGCAGAGTTTTATGCAGCATCTTGTTTAATAAGACAGAGGAGGAGAAAGGACATATTGATCAACCTGGTCATTTCATCTGCCTATTTATTTTCTACCTACCAGTCATCGATCTATAGTAACAAGGAATAGATTTTTTAAGTGGTTGTCTACAGGGCAAAATGAGGAAATAGGTTGAAGGAATCAGTACTTTTCTGAATATACATCTTATTTAATAGTTTTAACTTGAGGAATATTCAAATATTTTATGTAATAATTTAATTCAAAAGTTTTAGAAGGCAGTACATAAAAAAATCAACAAACTATAGCAAAGAAACAAACTGCCAAGAAGTAGTTGATGGGAAAAAGCTAAAACAGTAAATCAATCAAGGGTTCCCAATCCAAGACAACAGTGAAGGAAAACCCTGAGCTCACCTCCCCCCATTTCACATTAAATTCCCACCTGCAGACAGAGCAGCTCCCCCTGGAGAGGAAAGGAGGGCTGACTGAACAACCTCTGAATGACCAACAAGAGAGAAATCCCATAGACACATGAGGGAGAGACAGAGACATGGCACCATGGCAACCCCACCCCAGCAGTGACCTGCAGTGGGCAGGGATCCCTGAAGGCATATGTGCAGACTCACCCACTGTGGATAAAGTGAAAAAACAGTGACTGAAAGGGCACCTAGACTGTAAGGAGGAAAATCCAATTACTAACCAAGAACATCTGCAAGTGAGAGGGGAACTGCAGAAACCTACTCCAGTGTCGGGAGCACCAGAAAGAGCCAGTCATTCATTGACACTCTCCCTCCCACTTGGTCTCATGGACAGGACATAAGTCAGGTGCTTCAGCCAGCCATCCTTGATGGTCAGGGTTCACACGAGGTCCAGGCCCCAGGCCCCAGGCCCACACCAGCTCTGTGGCTTGTCCCCAGGTCTTCCACTCCCACTCCACCCCACGGCTCCCCATGGCCCACTCCCACTCCAGCTCCAGCTCGCCTGCTAAAGACACCTGGCTCACACAGTGTACAGAGGAGAGGTTCCTAAACAAGTCTCTCCTTCAAGATTGGGAGAGATCGCTGTTTCAAATAATTCATAGAAACAAACATGGAGAGGCAGCCACATGAGGAGACAGAGAAATGTATTCCAATAAGGGATAAGGAAACATAAACAAACAAGAACTACTAGTAAATGAATAAGATATAAGCAATTTACCTGATAAAGAGTTAAAAGTAAACACTGCTTATAAGTATTTGCAATGAACTCGGGAGAAGAATAGATGAATTCAGTGAGAACTTCAACAAAGAAATAGGAAAATATGTAAAACAACCAATCAGAACTGAGGAATACAATAATTGAAATGAAAACAAAAATAATCTGGAAAGAATCAACAGAAGATTAGTTGAGGCAGGAGAATGAGTCAGCAAGCTAAAAGACAAGGTAGTGAAAGTCAATAAGAACAGCAAAAAGGAAAAAAAAATAATATCAAAAATGAGGATAGTTTAAGGGACCTGTGGGGCAACATCAAGTGTGCCAATATTTGAATCATTGGAGTCCCGGAAGGAGAAGAAAGAGAAATGGAGGTAAAACCTACTTAAAGGGATGATGACTGAAAACTTCCCCAATCTGGTGAGGAAAACAGACATCCAATTCCAGAAAGCACAGAGAGTTCTGAACAAAATGAACCCAAAGAGGCCCATATCAAGACACATCATATTTAAAATGCCAAACGTTAAAGAATCTTAATTGCAGCAAGAGAAGAAGCAGCTAGTTATGTACACGGGATCCTTCATAAGACCAACAGCTGATTTTTCAGCAGATACGGTAATGGCACAAAATATTCAAAGTAACGAAAGGCAGAAACCTACAACGAGTATATTCTATCCAGAAAAGTTAGAGCATTCAGAATTAAAGTAGTGATAAAGAGTTTCCCAGATAATCAAATGATATAAGAGTTCTCACAAGTAAACAAGCATTAAAGAAAAGTTAAGGAACCTTCTTTAAATGGAAAATACCAAAACTAAAAACAAGAAAATATTGGGGAAAAAATTTGCACTGATAAAGGCAAACGGTTGTAAGTGTAGCAGATCAACCAGTTATAGAGCTAGAAGGAAAATTAATATACAAAAGTGGTAAAAGCATGTGTAACACAGTAATACATTAAGGGATACACACACAAGAGATGTAAAATATGATGTCAAATACATAAACATGGCAGTGAGTAAAAAATGTAGCTTTAGAATGCATTTGAGCTTAAGCAATAATCAACTTAAAAAATATTACTATAAACATAGCTTGTTATATACAAATCTTATGATAACCCAAAACCAAAAATCTATACTACATACAGTTAAAAATGAAGAAAAAGAACCCAAACAATCACTAGGAAGTCATCAATGTACCAGAAAAGACAGCAAGAGCCATAGCTGGTTTGACATCTGCCTGTGCAATGAAGGGTCCCAAGAGCAATTCCAGTCAATGGCAACGACAGTTGCAGGCTCCTCCATGGCCCGGGATCTGGTCAGGCTCATGCAGGAGGCAAGCAATTGATATGTTTCTCTCACATCAATTTTTATCTCTGTCTTTCCCTCTCTCTGAAAATCAATGAAAAAACATCCTTGAGTGAGGATTTGAAAAAATGAAAAGAGAAGAAGAAAGTAAGAAAAGAATGACAAATGACCAGAAAAAAATTAATAAAATGGCAATAAGTATACACCTATCAATGATTACTTTAAGTGTAAATGGACTAAATATTACAATCAAAAGACAGGCTGACTGGATGGATTCAAAAACAAGACCTGTGGATATGCTGCCTATAGGAGACTCATTCAGTTCAAAATAACATACAGACAAAAAGTGAAGAGATGGAAAAAGGTATTTCATGCAAATGAAAACTGCAGTAGCCGTAGTTATGTCAAACAAAATAGACTTTAAAACAAAATCTATAATAAGAGACAATAAAGGGTATTACATAATGATAAATGGATCAACTAACAAAAGAACATAACATTTTTAAACATCTATGCATTAAACATTAAGAGCACCTAAATATTTAAAGCAAATATTAATAACATAAAGGTAGAGTTGACTGTAACACAATAATAGCAGGGAACTTTATCACCCCACTTACA